TATGGAAGTCACCTTGAATTGCACCCTAAATTGAAAAACAGTGAGGGTCGAGGCCCAAAACGGACACTATCTTCGTCGAGAAAAGGTTCGAGATGTTACAACTTTGCCTCGTATCATTTCCATGCTCTAATCTGCTTCATGGATTAATGTGGTTTTTTCCCAAGACGTCATAATGTTTTTAGCATATTGAAGTGGCTCGTAATGAGCGTTTGGATACTCTTCCTGAGGATTGGATTGTAATTGCTGATTTGATTTCTCCAGTTCTGTGAGAATTTCAATTCTTCATTTGTTTGGGATTTGAAGGTACGTACCACTTTCTTGTTAAAAAGAGAGAGAAAAAGTGAATGTTCTAAATTTAAAACACATGACCTTGAGTTATATCAAACAATAAACATGATGTTAATATATTATCTATTACACCACAAGCTCATTTTGTCAAGTTTAAAATATCAACTCTATTTACCTAACTAAAATTTCCAATCTTACCAAAACTCTAACAATTGAAAATAGTTTATATTCACTGTTCGACTTTTCTCCTTTGGACATATGAATAAAAAAAAGCCTTCTCGACTTGGGGCAACTCCCTTTTCTTAGTTTAATGAAAGCCCCTTCCCGTCTGGTCTACCAACTCTTTGGACATTGTTTTCAATGACTCAATGTGTTAAGAATTCCTAAAAAAATCGATGAATTTGTTTGATGGATGGAGAAATAACTAAATTGATGCATTGACGTACCAAGAATCACAGCACAAGAACGACAAATAAATTAAAACAACTAAATTAAAGGTTTTTCTTCTTCATTGATTATTAAAACGCAAGCCAAAGCACATATTTATAGGAAAACACCAAAAACCCTAAAACTACCTAAACCTAGCCGGCCACTTACTTGACCCAAACTCCACGAAACTCTTCCCCAAAACACTCGGCCACCTTTCCTAATCAAACTATAACAATAGTTCCCTAATAATACTAATTATCCCCCACCTAAATTGGGGAGCGGATTAGGCCAGTAACACTATAGTGAGTAACCATGAGTAACTCGTCCACATCAGCATGACATCAACATCCCTCTCTCTTTTGGAAAGCATTTTATATTTTTCTCTTTAATTTTTAACGAACGATTTCTCTCTCGTTTTAAGTCGAAATTTAAATTTTTTTGCACAGATAAATAAGATTAAATGTGCCCTTTAAAATGATATCCACTTTGATATATTTTTAGTACAAAAAAATTGAGTCATTTTTTACAAGTCATTACCATATGGTATGCTCCTATTTAATACCATATGGTAAGAAAGCATACCATGATGGTATGAACATACCAATATGGTACGAAGGTTGAATACATGATAGTAGGAGTATACTACCTGTCATTTACGACTTTCATAATTGTTTACTACAAGTTACCACTCACATACCATAGTGGTAAAGTATGATAATTTTTTGTCCAGTATTTTTTTCACACGGAAATTTGTGGATCCAATAGATCATGACGAACTCGTTCATTCTGAGCAAACGTTTTAAAAAACGACTTAAAAACGAAGAAATTACCATATGGTATGTAGTTGGTAACGGGTGGTATGAAAAAGGGTTTCTCGAAATATATTGAAAATTGATCTCATTTTGTAGAGCACAACGAACTCATTCCATCTATGCCAAACAAAAAAAATTGAAATCCGAGTTAGAACGAAGAAGATAATAACTGATTAAGAAAACTAGGGAAAATAAAATGTCTTTAATTGACAACCCTTAGATCTAGATTTTCTGGGCCCACTTAGATCCTAAGCCTCTAAATTGGCTACAGTAGGCAGTAGCCGAATCACTGATAATAATAATAAATAGTAATAACAATAATCTATCACCCATCAATCCACCCCCTTAAAACAACCTCGTCCCCGAGGTTGGCGAACAACTACGTAGATGTGAAGGCGATGGCAGAAGACGGTGATAGCTCGATGCTGTTTGCGCTTCCTGTACTTCCAGTTGCGACGAAGCAGCTTCATAACAGAGTAGCTTGATTCTTCGTTTGCCCGCTTCCTGAACTTCCAATTACTAGCACAAATCTTGCATATCCTCGTCTTCTTCCCTCCATACTCCACCCCCCTTAAAGAATAACGCCCGCAAGATTCCAATGAACGGAAAAATAGAAATGGGCCATTGTTAGAACAGAAAACGAACTCATACCCTGAAATAGGAGTCATGGAGGCGGAGAAGGCTGCCACAGCTTCATGGGAAATTTCCATGAAGTTGTTGAAGGCGACTTCATGAGCTAGCGGCGGCGGCAGAAAAACAGTCGATGTTGGCAGGGGCAGATCAGTGGTCGGCGGCTGCGGTGGCAGAACATGTAACACCCCGATGTTTTTATTTAGGTTCGACCATAACAAATGAGCAGTGGGTTTGACGCTGACGTACGAAGGGTTACAACTTACAACAGCGGATTAGGAATAATAATAATAATTATATATAAAAAAATCGGCAACTCGGCCAAGAGGGCCCAGCGACCCCAATTTTCCAAAACCCTCCATCATTTCCCCCATGAGTCGATCCCCCCTCCCAGCAGCAAACTCCCTGCCGCCCCAGTAGTCGATCCCCCCTAGCAGCAAACTCCCCGCCGCCCTTGCCTTTGTTTCCCCAGCGCTACCGAGAATAAGAAGGAGAAGAGGGAGCGCTGGTCACTGTTCCCGACCCCGACCCCATCCATTTCGTATTCCTATGTAAAGATTGCTAATCCTTTCACGATTTCCAAACTCGGTTCACCGATGGTCTAATCCAAAATTGGAAATTTGTATTATTGTATTATTCCATTTGCGGTGTCGTTTAAGGGTTCGAACATCGATCAACGTCCCCGGCCATCCAATCTAGTCTTCGGCTCATTCTAGAGGTAATCGAACTAGATCCATTGGTATTAGACCGGTTGTTTTGGTGATTTTTCATGAGGGCGCAATTCTGGGTTTCTAGCGATGGACTTTACAGGCTTTTAGTTACAGATTTTGGGTGGTAAATAAAGTTGCAGGAAATTTTAATAAACGTGATTTTAGTTATTTTAATTGTTTCGAACCTCCGCAGCTATTTGTTTATTGTTTAACAATTTTATAAATTGAGAGAGGTCTAGGAGATGGCTTTGATTTAATTTGGGGATTTATGAAAATGAATTATTGTTTTTTAAAATTAATCGAATATTTTAATCAAATAAAATTCATGCCGAGGTGCTTTTAAGGGTTTGATAATTTTACAGAATATATGTTCCCGTGATTGAAATGGGAAAATTATTATCTGAATTTTTAAGTAGGTTCAAGTTACGTGAAAAATTCGTCTAAAATAAAATTAATTAGAAAAAATGGTCGGTTTTTAAGGGATTATTTCTTAAAATTTTTTAAAGGAGGGTAAGGGATCTTTAGGAAGAGGTTCGTGGATGGGACGTTAAGGAGAGGGTGCTTTGGTAAATCAGAAGGTACTTTAAAGCGAGAAAGGTTGTCTAAAAATGAATTTATGATTTATAGGTTGTCCCGAGATAGTTGGGCGATGGAGGGATTTCTTCGAGTAAGGAATCAAGGATTCATCTTTTCAGGGTGAGTGTGAAGGAGGTAAAATCTCTGTCGCGGTCTTTTTAGGTTATTCTTTTCATTTCAAGTTATTATTTAGTTAATTTTTTAGTAATGCGCGATTATTTGTGTGAGACATCCCCCCGCCTAGGGGTTGGCAAATGGTTAGGTAAACTCGAACCGAAATCGAATTAAACCGAATCGAAACCGAATTAATGCTATTCGGTTTGGAATTCGGAAGGAAAATATGGATATTTCGCAAACCAGGGTTCTTTCAACCTAACCAAATTTCCTACCGAAAAACCGAAATACTATAATTGCAAGCTCCAAATGGTGGATTTTTATGTTTGTAGTTGGTTTTAGACTTAAATATTTGAAATGTTTTATGACTTATGTGTTGAAAAGTTTGATTTTATCATTGATGATGCATATAATTGATATTTATTGTTTATATTAGGGGTGAAAAATAATTTAAAAATGAGAAAATACAAGTAGCTTCACAAATTCGGTTTTGGGTGAAAAACCAAACCAAACCGAATTATAATTCGGTTTGAACCGAACAAACTGAAATATAATTCGGTTCGAATTCGGTTTGAGGTTTGGTAGAATTCGGGGACCCGGTATTCATAATCTCGGTTCGGTCGAAACCGAACCGACCGAATGCCCACCCCTACCCCCGCCTACTTAAGGTGGAGGCACGTGTTGTGCTATGTATGAATGAATGTATGGTTATAATTTTGTGGTTGATGGTAACTGAACCCCCGAGCTATTGGGCCACTACTGGACGCAGTAGATGGTCGGGTCACTACTGGACGACGATATGTAACGCAGTACCATTGCCTTGAGGATATGGAAACCGGACGACGATACGTAACACGGTGAACCCTAGTAATAAGTATCTAGTTAACATAGAATTAGAGAACTTTTATAAGCTATTAAGGACTAAAGTGTAAAGGATGAAAGCGAGAATGTCTTTCATGTAAGATAGGAATGTTCTAATAATGTGTTAGTAAGGATTTGCTTAGGCAAAGACCGTAGGAAGTAACGACGAGACTGACCCCTTCTCAGTCATCAGGTGTGGAAAGGGGAAGAGGACATAGCCAACACGAGGAGGTCAGCCGCGTCAAGCTTGAAGATGTCAGAAGGCTCAAGGTAACTAGAAGGGACCCCTCCCCCCTTGTCATATTTGTCTTTATTTAGTGTCTTTATTTAGTGTCTTGTGAGTATACTGGGAAACTCAAGATTTATGTTGAAATGTTTGGGACTGATATTTTTCCCAAGTGTTCAGGTATTTCCTTTGAGTTTTCTGAGTGTCACCGGAGGATGATTTTCGATTTGAATTTAAAGAATGGGTTGGATTGCTCCGGAGTAATCGGTTTTTGTTTTAAATTGTGGTTTGGTTTGTTGACAAAGATAGGGTTGTTTCATAAAAGTGGTGTGCGATGGGAGTGACGTGGTGAGAATGGCAGCAGGTACAGCGATGGTCATCCCTCGGTATGCAGCGATCAGGTCACCAGTAATCGCAATCATGTCGCGATTAATGGCGAGCAAGTCCTCGAAGTACACGTCGATGGATTGGCTCATCTCATGCAGCCTTCGCAAGATGAGATTCAACAAGGGGGCACGGCTTCCGTCATCCCAACTGGTGACGGTATTGGCAGCAGTGGTTGAGGTCGTGACCTCCAGCAGTTTGACGCGAACGTCCAGCGGTTCGTCGGGGGGTCCTTGTGTCGGCCGGCAGTCTCCAGCATGACCTCCATCAACGATGTCAGCAGCAGTGTATGAGGTCGTAACCTCCAGCGGTGCATGGCGAATGTCCAACGGCATTGGTCCTGAGAGCTTTGGTGGTGTCATGGTTGCTCGCGGGACCTCTTCCCAACGTTGGTGGTCGAACGTTGGCGATACCTGCCCTGGGAGCTGCAGCAGCGAGCTCCATTCGTCGGAACCAGGCTCTGATACCAATTAATGCATTGACGTACCAAGAATCACAGCACAAGAACGATAAATAAACTAAATCAACTAAATTAAAAGTTTTTCTTCTTCATTGATTATTAAAACGCAGAGCCAAAGTACATATTTATAAGAAAACACTCAAAACCCTAAAACTAGCTAAGCCTAGTCGGCCACTTACTTGACCCAAACTCCACGAAACTCTTCCCAAAACACTCTGCCACCTTTCACTAATAATAATAGGGTAAATACAATTTAATATCCAAACATTTCGTTTCAAACAATATAATATCTAAACCTTTTCGAAAACAATCTAATATCCAAATCGTCAACTTTTCATTCGTTTTACCGTTAATTGACTCTGACGTGGTAAATGACTGTACACGCAGATGAGTTTTGCTGATGTGGCAAATAAAAAAATTAGGGATTATTTATTAATTTAAAAAGGGAAAAAGGAGAGCATCTGTCGGGCACTCTTCATTTTAATCAGCTTAATTTCTCTCCCTATTCCTCCCCTCTTTCGAAACCCTTCTCTTTTCCGGCGAAACCCAGCCCCGTCGCCACGTCAAAACCAAATCCAGCCTGCCAAAAGCGAGCGCCGCCTTCCTCCCTCCTCATGTGAGATTCGCAAAATGCAAGCTTGTCGGCGAGGGACGGCGGGGCATTGGCGAAGTAGACGACGGAGCTTTTGCAAAGGACCATGTCTGCGAGGGACGGTTCTTCATCTTCGACCAACACAAATCACGATTCAAGACCTATATGCCACAATTCTCCATGTATTTTACAAGTCTCTGGTACCAATAAGAATTCGGGAAGAAAGTTCTACTGTTGCCGATATTGGAAGGTATAAATTTTTTTTTAGATGGTGGGCTTTCTGATTTATCTCTTGTACATGTTTGATGAGCTCTTTTTGTAGGATTCTAATGCAAAGTGCAAGTTTTTCGTATGGGTTGATGAGTACCAACCTAAAGTTTGGAAGGAAGCTGAAGACGAGCTGAAGACCAAACTGATCGAAATGGAAGAGAGCTGTAGGCTTGCTCGAATGAAGGCGAAAAGAAGGAAAAAGGCAAAAAATTTGCTATTAGAAGAGTTGATGAGAACTAGGGAGGATCACACAAGAATGAAAACCGAGTTGAGAAGCTTGCGCATTGTGTTTGCTCATCTTGCAAGTAGGATTAAGATTGTGATGATGTGTTGTAGTTGTTATGGCTTCTGTTGTAATTTCATGGTTTCAGTGAGGGATAATTGTGTACTGTTTAGTGGTGAAGGAGTGCGATTATGTACCCAAGCTATGAACCTATTTTAGTTTGCAATACAACTCTGCATGTTTTAAACTTGTCATTAGCAGAGATATGGTGGTTGGAAGGATAAGAAACACAATTGAGACGAATATAACACAACTGGTTGTTCTGAATACCATCTTTACGTCAACAACTTTGTCAAGTCTGCAAAATAACATTCATCTTGTCTCTCTGCTTAACATGGATAACTAAAGAAGCAGAAGAGTGCTGGTCTATCTATGAAGTGAATCTGTACAAAATGCAAAAGTAGGTAGAAAAGAGCCAAACAAACTACATTGGCTCTCTTCACCACAAGCTCAACTTCATCTTTGTTGCTTCACATTTACATCAAGAAGCAGAAAAGTGCAATCTAATACTAATACGAGTCTACCACTTCACAGTCAATCCATACTAACAAGAGTCTACTACTTCACAGTCAATCCATATGAGGCTGAGTTGTTGGTCCCTGTGTCGCGTCAATCTCAGTTGGCTGGGTACCGACAACGTCTACAGTAGTACCAATGTTACGATTCTCCACCCTCGGGAACTGAAAATGAACAACATGGTGAACACTTAATGTCCCCACTAATCAAAGTCAAGTTGAAAGAACCATACAAAAAGACTAATGGATGCCACATTCACATACATGGGCAACTGGTTCCCGGTTGCAGGATTTGTATATATACCAATGCCAGCTAAAGCAGTTCTGACCTCTTTGGAAACTTGGTTCCTATCCTGAAAAGTCCATGACGGTATAGAATATCTAAATATTCAGTCATCTGCAATGCTAAAACAAGAAAACAAAGCTGTATTGTGACAATTTCCCCTAAACAAAGCTTTTTTGATTCACAGTGCAATGACGAATAAACCAAATATTCATTTTTCTTACCTTGTAAAGGAAGGGCAATTTCGTGATGATTTCTGTAGTGGTCCCCCTGTGGTCCTCACAATCAAGTTGTTGGATTCCCTCAAACGAACCACTATAAAATAGAGCCATCAATCAAAAGGGGAGAAAGGAAATCGGAAATTCTAGGGTTCCACAAGACAAGCAGAAGCACATTACCTAGCTTAGCCGTTTGCTTCACCACATCTTCGTCAATTCCTCCGTCACCGCTGACTCGCCTCCTGCTGACTCGCCTCCTTCACAACAGCCGTCGATTCCTTAGCGCGATGAGAACTACGCTCGTTTTCTCCGCTGGTCACATGATGATTGGAGCGGGAAGTTCGCGGCGTTCGACCGCCGGCGGGAACTACTCTCGCTTTCTCATTCTGTATTGGCGACGACTAGGGCTTCGTCGGAGAGTTTTCAACAGAGGAGAGGGTTCGATCGTGTGGATGGCGTTTGAATGGAGAGAGAACGGATGGAATGGAGAGAGACACTGTTTTTGGATGTTTCTTTATCCTTTTCTATTTTATTTTTCTGTTAGTAAAAATAATAAATTAACTAAAAATCAATTTAAATATCCATGTGGCATGTTGGTCACTTTCACTCACAGCCACATCAGCAAAAGAATATCCAGGTCACTTATTTTTTGTCACGTCAGCGTCAACTAACGGTCAAACAGACGAAAAGTTGACGATTGAATACTATACTGTTTTCGAAAAGGTTGGATATTATATTGTTTAAAATGAAAGGTTTGGATATTAAATTGTATTTACCCTAATAAATAAACAGTAATAACAATAATCTATCATCCATCATAAATCTTCATTGTACACTTTAACAGGTTGTATTCTAATTTTCACAGTGAGTTGTGTAGCATTGTGTCTTGTTAGTAGAGATGGAAAAAATATCTGTAACCGTGGATATCCACCCGAATCCGGATAATTAGGTAGGGTAAAATTCGAACCTGAATGACATTTAGTAGGTACGGGTAAAATGTGACCTGAATATTGCGGTTAATGGGTGTGCATGAGTTTCTCACAATCCAAGCCAAACCCGCTCGATTGTACACATGCATATTTATTTTGTCTAGAAATAATCATTATTTTTCTCTAACATATTTTATACTTAGCATATAAATATAATATTTTCACCAAATTGTGTTATTTTAATTAATTTTATTCATTCTAGTGAATTATTGATAGAACTGTGTAGGTGAGAAGAGAATTGAGATTGAGAATTAGGGATTGAGAAGAAGAATTTTAGGGATTTGAGAGAATTGGGGAAGAACAGGAGAGAAAGATATAATTAGGGATTTTGATATTCTTATTGCTTAATTCCCAAATGAGTGTACAGAACCCCTTTTATGAGTTTCAGAGAACTAATGGAAAATAACAAAATAGCCACTCCTACCCGGCCCACCCTCACCCTCGGTTTCTATCATCCCCTTCCCCATCAGAAACGACCTTGCTCTCAAGGTCGAATGTCGGGAATCGCTGCCGGAGTGTCGTCGTCTCCTCTCAAGTGGTGTCCTCCCTCTCAATGTGCTGCCACAAGACCACGCTTTCCTCGATCAAACGTCCCCCTTTCTTCACCCACCTGGTATCCAACACCTGCAAGGTAGTCAGCTCCAGATCTCCATCTGCCGACACCGGTGGTGCAGTCGTCTCCACTCGATCAGTCGCGCCCCAATACCTCTTCAGTAGGGAAACATGGAAAGTAGAGTGAATACGCGCATCGGCTGGAAGCTGAAGGCGATAGGCCACCGGATTAATCTTCTGCAGGACCTCATATGGCCCAAAGTAACGGGCTGCCAGCTTCTGATATGCCCTCCGGAATACGGAAGCCTGCCTGTAAGGATGCAAACGGAGCAGAACCCAATCACCAACCTCGAACTCCTCCTCGCGGCGTCCCACATCAGCCAACTGTTTCATCTTGTTGTTGGCAGCCGCCAAATTGGTCTTGAGCTGCTCCAAAGCCTCATCCCGCACTCCTAGCCATCGATCCACTGCGTCCACCGGACTAGTGCCACCCTGGTAGCGTACCAAAGAAGGTGGAGGCCGCCCATACAGAGCCTCAAACGGTGTCATCTGGATCGCCCTATGGTAAGTAGAGTTATACCATAATTCAGTCCATGGTAATAGAGCCAACCACCGCCGCGACTGCTGGTGGACAAAGCAGCGCAAGTACTGCTCCAAGTAACGGTTAACCACCTTCGTCTGTCAATCAGTCTGCGTGTGGTATGTGGAACGCATCCGTAATGTGGTCTGAGCCAAAGCGAACACCTCCTGCCAGAACCGACTCAAGAAAATGGAATCCCGGTCACTGACAATGGACCTCGGGAACCCGTGGTGTCGCACCACCCCCCAGCACAAACTGCTCAGCCACTGACCGAGCGGTATATGGGTGCGCCAGAGCCATGAAATGGGCGTATTTTTTCAGTCGATCCACGACGACGGACAGGACCTTCTTCCCTCCGGATGGCGGTAACCCGACAATGAAATCCATATTGATGTCCTCCCACACTCTCTCACGCACCGGTAGCGGCTGCAGGAGACCTGCCGGGCACAAATGGGATGCCTTGACCCTCTGACAAGTGTCACAAGACGCGACATAGTCCTTCACATTCCGACCCATCTG